TACATGACAAATCGTCTTCATACTCCAGGGTTACTTGTGGAGCACCACAGGGTTCAGTGCTTGGACCAATTATTTTTACTATATATATGCTCCCAGTTGGTAAAATCATTAGCCAGCATGGGATAAACTTTCACTGTTATGCTGAAGATACTCAATTATATTTATCCATTAACCCTGATGACCTAATCAGTTAGGTAGATTACAGGCTTGTCTTGAGGTCATAAAAATTTGGATGACTCTAAACGTTTTGCTTTTGAATCAAGACAAGACGGAAGTTCTATTTTGTCTAGTCTTAGCCCTTAAGCGAGCTGCTATTGGAAGGGTGATCTCAACATCAGCCAATCATGAAGAGCTTAAATGTATGCCCACCACGTGGGCACCCCTTGTGGGTTATATAAGTGGGTGGCTACCTGTTAAATTCAGAATAGATTTTAAGATCCTTCTTCTCATATATAAAGCTCTTAATAATCAAGCTCCATCATACATCAGTGATCTGATTGTTCCATACGTTCCTAACCGAGCACGTCGCTCTCAGACTGCAGGTTTACTGGTGGTTCCCAGAATTTCTAAAATTAGGATGGGAGGCAGATCTTTTAGTTATCAGGCTCCTCTCCTGTGGAACCAGCTCCCAGCTTTAGTCCGTGAGGCAGACACCTTGTCTACTTTTAAGACCAGGCAACATTTTTATTTGATAGGGCCTATGGTTAAAATCTGATGTTAGCCTAGATCTGGACAAGTGGTGGAGTAGAGGGAGGTGGAGTGTACAGTCGGTAAAGATGGCTCTCCCTTGCCCTGCCTCCAACATGCCTCCATCTAAATAGGATAGATTATCCAGAGTTATCTCTGTAGTTATGCTGCTATAGGCTTAGACTGCTGGAGGATACACTGACCACTTCTCACACTCTACTGCTTTCTTCTACAATCTGCTCTTTTAACTGTATTATTTTCTGCAATTTCAGCTGTCAGCTTTATTTTCTCTCTAAGTGTTTTTCTCCCCAGAAGAAGCTACAATGATGTTCTGCTGAGCTGTGGTGGCCTCATGGAGGGGGCCATCATCTAGCACACTGCTGCTAACCACTTAAACATTCTCCCTCTCCTGATAATAACTTTTTGCTTTCCTTGATGTTGGACATGCTACTATGAGTTTATCCGTTTAATTATAGATCCACTAGGATAAATACAATAAAGTTTATCTCACCAAATAGAATATTTACTAAGAAATCACAATGTAACCATAGACACATTGCTTGGGGGGAGGTGTGTGTGTGTGTGTGTGTGTGTGTGTGTGTGTGTGTGTGTGTGTGTGTGTGTGTGTGTGTGTGTGTGTGTGTGTGTGTGTGTGTGTGTGTGTGTGTGTGTGTGTGTGTGTGTGTGTGTGTGTGTGTGTCTGCTCTGTCTTCTCGATCCCCAGTGAGTCGTGGAGGATGGCTGCTTATACTGAGCCAGGATTCTCTGGAGGTTTCTTCCTGTTAAAAGGGAGTTTTCCTCTCCACTGTCGCTGTACGCTTGCTTAGAGGATAGCTGTATAGCCACTGACAGTGGCTTGATGCAATTTGCTGGGTTCCTTATGTAGGAAACATTATTTCTGATTGGCTTAATGAACTTACCTGGATTGGAATGTTTATTATGAAAAGTGCCTTGAGACGACTCTTGTCGTGATTTGGCACTATATAAATAAAATTGAATTGAATTGAATTGAACTTCGAGGCCCAGGTGTTCGGGGAAGTCTGTCGGTTGCTTGGGGGGAAGAAAACCTGGATGACCCCTCTCCATCCACAGAGTGATGGACTTGTGGAGAGGTTCAACAGGGCCTTGGCCACTCAGCTGGCCATCCTGGTTGATCGCCATCAGAGGGACTGGGACCAGTAACTTCCCTTGGTCCTCTGGGCTTACCGCACGGCTGTGCAGGAGTCCAGATGTATGGACGAGAGCTTAGGACCCCAGTGGACCTGGTCTTTGGTGCCCCGCCATAGCTAGAGCTTACAAGGGGCACGGAGACTGACTACTTTCAGAGACTCAGAGAGCGGCTGCGGGTGGTGCACAAGTTCACCCGGGAGGCACAAGCCAACTCTAACATGCGCCAAAGGAGAGCATATGACAACCAGTGTCGTGGACAGCCTTTTTCACCTGGAGATAAGTTGTGGGTCTACTGTACTGAGCGTATAAAGGTGTGTCCCCCAAGCTTCGTAGCCACTTGCGGGGACCGGCAGAAGTGGTGGCTCGCTTGTCCGATGTGGTATACCGGGTGCACATGTCCCAGCGGGGATGCCTGGTGGTGCTGCATCAGGACAGGTTTGCTCCATAAGGCCCCGTGTCTCAAAGGCTGCTGGCGAGGGGGAGGACGGAGCCAGCCAGAGTCCACTGAGGGACTCAAGCACTAGACGCCCGACCCAACAGCGGCGCCGACCCGCACATCCGAGGGACTTTGTTGCAGAAGATGGGGTTGTCTGGGATGACTAACCCCTCTGGTGGGGGCTATGTCGGTCGCGTAGCAGAGCCAAGCAGCCTACTCAGGGGGGCCGCAAAGACTTATGGGTAATGGGCTTTAAATGTTAGTCACAGAGTTTTTCGGCATTATCTTATGGTTTGACATTATATTTTTGTGTTTCAGTGGATACCTGTTCTTTAATTACCCTTCAAGTTCTGTTGTTGTCAATATTTGGTGGTATTTGTTCATCACCATGATAGAGAAGGGGGTGCATGCTGACCTGCCTGATATTAGATTGTTAATGGCAAGCAAGTGATTGCAAGAGTTGTTAATAAACGGCTCCTCATTGTCAATCCGTGTTTGCCCCTTGAGGTGTGCAATAAAGCTTCTCTCTCCAGTGACTCATTTCCTGTGACGTCACATTATTGTGAGATTAGCATTTAGTTAATGACATGAATTTATCAACTCAAATTTGGCCACCATTGGCCACAGAACAGGTACAAGTACGGTTTGGAGCAAATACCCTTAACGCCTGAAAAACATTAATGCTTTTTTAAACTGAAGTGAGCATGATGAGTCAGATTTTTGCTCAAGAGATCATTTAGACCTTTTGTCTTGCAGTCTGCCGTATCAGTATACACGCACACACACACAGACACACACACACACCAAGATCTTTGTTTTAGGGTTATTTTGGAAAAGAACTAACAATGTTCCATAATTAAAGTTTTGTATGACCTTCTTCACCACTCTCTTTATTCTGCTCTCCCCACCTATTCCACCTTCCTCAGGAACCACTGATTTCCCTTTTTCCTACTCTCTCTCTCTTTCTTAACATTTTTTATCGCAATTGTCTCTTTTTGCTCATTTTAAAAATATTTTTAAACATTTTCTAAATGCTTTTTATATTTTTACATTTTTTGTGTTTGTGAAGCGCCTCTTGATTTTTATCTTGAGAGGTGCTATAGAAATGATATTTTCTTCTTCTTAAATTTGAGCTATCATTACAATGGTCTTTTGTCTGATTTTCCCAAAAAAGCTGTGCAGCTTTACACATTTCATTATAAAAATGCGCAAAAATGAGAACAAGCTATTTCGTAAGAAATACTAACTTTTGGGGAATGTTTTTTTTTCTGTTTTCAATAGTTTTGTGGCAGCTCAGTTCTTGAAATTATTTCTAAGTGAATTCAGCTCTTCACTGCATTCAGTGTTGAAAACTGATCAATTCTTTGTAATCATTCAAGCCCAGTAGGCTACTCCATGTACAACTTGTACTTTTCTTCTTGCACGTCTTCCGTCATCTGTTCCACTTCCTGTCCTCAATCTGACTGACAATGGCCCCTCAGTCTAATTAGCGCCGCACCAAGGAAACAGACGCGCGAGTGAGCGCACACACTACACACACACACTTTTCTTGTTTTGCGCTTATATTTTCCTCATTAGCCTTAAACATGTTGATGTAATACCAGCACTGACACTTCAAATTAAGATCAAATTTCTGTCAGGAACAGTTGACTTTTTAAAGATTTTAGAACAATTGCTTAAAGAGCAAGTCACCCTACTCCCTCTTCATGTTTGAAAAATGCAGCAAATGCTGTTGCCTGGCAGACCGAGAGGGCGGAGCTGCTAACAAATACACACACACACAGGCTCACAACAGCATTGTGACATCATAATGTACCAGTTTACATCATAGCATACTTCTTAGCCAATAGCGGTGGCAGATTTAAATTAAAATACAGTGCAGAGTTTTTACCTGTCAATGGCACAACACTGCCAGTTTTAGGCAGACTATTTAAATTTTAACTAAGATGCACTGAAGTGCCAAATTATTGACGACACGTGTCTGCAGCACGATTAGACACTCGTTTATTTAGTTTATCAGCAAAAAAAAAAGTTTATCTGGGGGTGACTTGCTATTTAAATAAAATAATTAAACAATAAAAATTGTGAACAAAATTCCCTCCATTTATATGAAATATACGCCAATCAGATGAAAACCTTTAGATATTACACGAATCCACCCCAGGATGTCTGAGTACGCGCGCCTGATCGGTTTACTTCTTTCATCCCAGCTACATTAATTATCTGTCATGACTCGCTTCCTCACGCGCGGAAACAAGGATTAAAACAGCTGGACAAGCTTGCGTATAGTGACCCCTTTTTTACGTAAGGTAAATGATTGTGGACAGACGCGCCCAGTGTTGCGAGCGCGCGCACTGGATGTAGCTCGAGCTGGTCCAGCACCGCAGGAGCGCCAGCGACACGTCAAAACACCAGCGGACGGGGACTGGGGTAGGGGGCTCGTGGGGTTTCAACTGCGCGGTTCTTGTGGTAACACAAGCTCCGCCGCTTTCACGCACGGATGCACGTAGACCCGATGAAATCGTCACGCGGATAGAATCTGTGGAATCTGTCGCGAGTGTTCCTGCAAGCAAGAACGCATCCGTACAACAGCGCGTCCAGCCCGGTCCGGTCTGGCTGTGTGGATCACCGAGTGGAAGGAAGGTGTAGAGACCGGGATCTGCACTGGACTCGTGGCCTAATCGGAGCATCCCAGTCCCGGGGAGCATCCGTCCATCCCTCTGCGCGCCAGCTCCAGCGGGAGGCCGGGAGTGGCTGAAGGATGTAGCAGCGGATTAACGGAAGAGGAGAGGTGTGCTCAGAGGAAGAGAGCTGGACCGAGCAGACCGGGTGGGACGGAGGGGACATGGGGAAGGACCAGGAGCTGCTGCAGGCCGTGAAGACAGAGGACCTACTGACAGCTCAGCGGCTCCTACAGAGACCACGGCCAGGAAAAGCCAGTGAGTATCCATCCTCTTGCTTCACACACACACACACACACACACACACACACACACACACACACACACACACACACACACACACACACACACACACACACACACACACACACACACACACCGTCATTTCCAGGTCAGGGCAGTGCATTCCAAATCTAATGTGATCCCATCTAACCTAACTGTTTCAGTGATTGCGTGCGTGCATGGTCATGCATGTGTTTTGACGTTGAGTGTGCCTAGTGATGACGTTGCACTTGTGTCAGAGCAATCATCGGGATGTAATTAGAAATTAGGGATGCTTGTCATGCACCCCATCTCCTGCTATTTTATTTGCGCCTGCTGGATGAATGCACGGAAAATGTGCGTGCGTGCGTGTGAGGGACATTGAAGTATACAAAAGGTAATGCACTGCTCTCAGGACAGTGTGTGTGTGTGGGATTATTGGTGTGTGAAGACGCCAGATGTTAGTGGTAAAAATGTGATGATCGTACACGTGCAGAGATTTTCATACAAGCACGAGTGTGATGCTCGAGTGCTCATGGGATCCTTGCACAGATTCAGCTGGGACTTGAGGTGATAATTAGATTTCAATTACAGCCTTGAAACTGCTTTCCTCCTCTCCCATTTCTCCACAAGCCCCCTCCTCCCCCTGCGTTTCTCTCCTCCTCCGTTGTCACTTTCCTCTCTGCTCTCCCTCTCTCCCATCCTTGAGTCCCCTTGTCTCCTCTGGTCACCTCTCCTCTTTGCTCCTTCTCTCATGTGTGCATGTTTGTCTCTGAACATTGCAGTGGTGCCACGGAAAAGAAAAATGCTTTGCCTCAAATGCCAGAATGGATCAGCTGTGAGTGCTCAGGCCGCTGTGGAGGAGGAGTTAGGTTGAGGGTGAAAGAAATAAAGGAGGAGGGCAAGATTTTGAGGGAGTATTAAAGGAGTGAAACAGTGAGATGTAGATGCAGGGAGGTGGAGATGGTGTGTGTGTGTGTGTGTGTGTGTGTGTGTGTGTGTGTGTGTGTGTGTGTGTGTGTGTGTGTGTGTGTGTGTGTCCAGGTTTATGTTTGAATAATTAAACAGTAAGCCAGGTTTCCCTGCTGGAGGATTTTTGCCTTCTCAAATACACAATCCCTAGCACACACACTTCACACATCGGGTGTTAGTCATGTGCCTGACTGTGTTTGTATTATTAATAGAATGCTAATGAAGTTCAGAGCAGCAGTGTGGCAGGTCGGGGGGGTGGTTGTTGGTGCTGTCAAAATGGCACAAATTGATGTTGGGGATTAAAGAAATGGAGGTGGGCACAGGAGCAAGTGCAAACACTTAACTCCACAGCCTGTCGTAGTTACCGTGGGACTGTAAAGCTGGCTCCGTTTCACAGCTCTAGGAGTGACAACAACACACACTTTCAACATTGTGGCAAACATGTTTACCTGCTTTATTATAACAAAAGCTGCTTCACCCTAAATGGTGGAAAAAGCCTCAATTCTTCTCTCTTTTATTTGTGTTTTTGCTTCCAAGAATTTTAACCTTTGAAAAAAGTTCTTATTCAAGCAGTTTTTTAGGTCTGTAGTTTCCTTTTGGACTTTGGCTGCTTTCCTTTTATTTTCAGACCCTGACCACTCCCAGAGGATTGCCTTCATTCAGCTTAGCTGATTATTAAAAAAAAAGATTGGTTAGAAATTAGGTGTTTGCAGAAATGTGTCAGTAACATTCTGTTGGATTAACAAACATGTATATTATTTATGATAAAGTCGAGCTGACAGCTACCCAGGACGATAAGAGTGTTTCTATCAGTTGTGGAGAGCTTCCTGAATGGCCTCTGTTTAGAGAAACAGGATTTGCATCTAAAAGGACAGACGAGCTGAACCCTAGTTCCGACACTGCCATGATTAATGTGTTTTGTTTATTTTATAAAACTAGCCTGGCAAGCTATCCTATAAATGTGAAAATATAGTCTGCCTTGGCCCATCGGGAAAGTTCAGTTGAGGGGCAGGATCTACTGTTGTCTTTCAAACTGTCTCCTCATGTTATTGGACAATAAACAACGGATGTCAGTCAATGGGGCAGTCCACCATACCCTGTCGAATAAACCTCAAATACAGGGACGGCGTTAGGCCAGGCTACTTGGGCTCAAGCCCCGAATCTTTAATGAAAAGCCCCGGATCTCAAACGTGGATGTAACATGCAGTACCAAAGTCCAACAGAGAGGGAGCAGCTGGCAGTAGTTTGTATACAGCCTGCCTGAGCCTCCACCACTGAAGAAGAAGCCCTTCAGCAGCCGGCTTCTTCTACACTCTCTGCCTGAAACACATGTGTGAAGATGGACATAAGGACGTTTTTTAGACAAAAAGTATAACGATAGAACCCCAGCTTTGATGAGACTGGTGTTGACTCAGGTTTGTGAGTCTTATTTAAAAATATTTGTTGTGCTGCTGGTTTGCCTAAAGTTAGCTTACTATCAGGTAAAGTTGTTGGAGAAAGAAAGGGAATATTTATTATAATCTCACACTAAACACTAACAGGAACAATACTCTGCCCTGAATATGCTTAATATGTAGCTTCAGATTAAAAATTATGTGGTACAAGACAAATATATATGATGTTGACTAGTGCGTGTCGCTCGCGCGTGTGTGTGTGTGTGTGTGTGTTAAGCCCCAGATCTTCTTCAGTCCTTAATCCGCCCCTGCTCAAATACATTATATTTCTAAATAAATTACTTAAGCACCTCTATCTTCTCTTGACTCAAAGAAAACCCCAAGTCAGAATAGTCCAAAGTTGATGCCAAAGCCATTTCACCACCATCTTTGTTGTTCTGCTCCGTCGCATCCACATTCGCACACCCAAAGCGACGAAAAGTGACGATGGGTGACCAAGCGTTTGTTTCTGATGCATTGGGAGGTCCAGCACGTTGGGCGGCGGCGCGCTGTGCCAGAGCGTCTTTTTCAGACGCCCGCTGTAAAATGGAGATTTTAGCGAACTGTGACCTTTACCCTCTTGCAATTTAACTTTCCCCTCACCCCCATCCTAACCTTAACCCACTTGCACATGCAAAACGTTGTTTCTTGTTGTGTCGTTCCTCTCAAACACGGTTAATGGTAAATTTAGAACGAGAAACTGGTTCAAGGTTAGAAAGAGGGTGAGAGGAAGGTTAAATCGCTAGAGGTGTAAAAAATAGTGAAAAATGACAGAGCGATTTATTGGACTGTCCTTACTCTAGTTTATCCAAGGGTCAAGTCTGACTTGTTACTAGTTACTTGTTCGGCAAAAATACCAGTATCACGTGAGATGGATGGGTGTGTTAAGGTTGATAAAATAATGGTACATGAATGGAGATTAAAGCTGTTTTATCTTGTGACTAATCCAGTTTAATCTTCACCGCACTAAAACTAGCTGTTAGCTCCATGATCTTAAAGGATGTATAAGTGGTTTCTCCAAATTGAGGCTGTTCAGAATGCTAAGAGATGAGTTAGTAATTAGAAACAAGATAAGATCTTGAGCTTTCAAACGGTGTTAACTTACATCATTTGTCATTATGCGTAGGTCATTTCTGACACAGACCCTTATTATATAAGATAAAAGAGTGGGTGCCTGGTTTTTCATCCAAAACTTCTTTTGCCGATTATTGATTGATTGGTGTATGTTGATCAAGACATTAACTCACCCAGTTACAGCTGGGGTTCATTCAAAGAGTATTTAGTTCAAGACTAAAAGAATCCACCCATTTGTTGGAGTTGATCCACTCGTCCCTGAACAGCTGGAGGTAGACTCACTGGGTACTCAGCGTGGTGACACAGCCATTCACGAAGGTGGTTCCGTTTTTGGACCGAGCAGCTGGAGGAAATCCCCCAAAACAACCCTGTGCTGAAATGACTGATTTCACATTCAGGACAGTTTGAGTCGAGGCTGGGAAGAATTAAAGCGATGTGAAGTGATAAGAGGAGATGTGTCACTCTTAAACCTCAGCAGAAGCTCAGTGAAACTTTTAGTTAATAAACAAACTTCATGTCCCGAGACAACCTTTAATTTAACCTTGATGAACAGCAATCTACCGTCGTCGTCGTCTTCCTCCGCTTATCCGGGTCCGGGTCACGGGGCAGCATCCCAACTAGGGAGCTCCAGACCGTCCTCTCCCCGGTCACCTCCACCAGCTCCTCCGGCAGGACCCCAAGGCGTTCCCGGACCAGATTGGAGATGTAACCTCTCCAACGTGTCCTGGGTCGACCCGGGGGCCTCCTGCCGGCAGGACATGCCCGAAACACCTCCCCAGGGAGGCGTCCAGGAGGCATCCTGACCAGATGCCCAAACCACCTCAACTGGCTCCTTTCGATCCGGAGGAGCAGCGGTTCTACTCCGAGTCCCTCCCGAATGTCCGAGCTCCTCACCCTATCTCTAAGGCTGAGCCCGGCCACCCTACGGAGGAAACTCATTTCGGCCGCTTGTATCCGCAATCTCGTTCTTTCGGTCATTACCCAAAGCTCATGACCATAGGTGAAGATTGGGACGTATATTGACCGGTGTAACGTGAGGAAATATGGGTTTTCTGTGCCAAAGGTTTCATTTGGACGTCTCCCGGAAGAGTGATTTCAGTGCGGAATAACTTCCGGTTTTTCAAAATAAGACATCAAAGTGAAACACAGAGAAAATGCGTAATTTTGTTAAAAATTAGCTTTTAGATGAAATAAATCGGATATATCGCAGATATAGAAGTCTGGATTAGCTCGCCAAAATGTAGTGAACCTGGGTAGGCTCTGCCAATTATGTAGAGTAATGGTTTATGCTCTTTTATGAAAGAGGAACCATTCTACATATTAATTTGAGATATTAATTTTAATAAATTAATAATCAAATTTTATAGAATTGAGAAGACTCAAAGGTTGTTTTCATCGATAAACTGTCGATAATATCCGTGGGTCTGTGTTTCAGTTCAATGAAGAGACAAGTTTGAAAGTTAAAAGATTTAATTCTTCAAATTAAACTAATGATTTTGAAATGACAAGCATAGGAAA